CAGTGCGGCGCTCCCTCGGCACTGACCCTCTGACAGTGCGGCGCTCCTGTCAGTACTGCCATTAAAATTGATGCTGGAGTTTGTCATTGAGCCTCTGGAATGAGGTTTGAACCCATGATCTTTTGAGATGGAGAGAGAAGAAATACAATGGCATCTGCTTCCCTTGAATGTAAATTCTGTTTAACAACGGTCATGAACAATGAGTGTATGTTAATCACTAAAATAAAACAAAGAACTCTCGATTCTGAAGAACGGTCACTGGACTCAAAACGTCAACTCTACTTTCTGTCTGCACAGATGCTGCTAGATCTGCTGAGTTTCTCCAGCTATTTATGTCTATGAATGAGTGTATTAAACCTTTGAAGTTATGTTACAGGTTTTGGTTTTATCTTCTTGCTGTCTTTCAGTCCTGTACAGAGCTTTTACGTTTCACAGTCACAGGCCTGTGGGAAGTATGGAAAAGAATCTTCAGCTGGTCAGAAATATCATCCCTCCTTTAACTGAGAAAAAACACAAAGGACAAGATGGAAAGATAGGAATTATTGGTGGATGTACTGAGTGAGTGTGGTACAGACCCCTGCTGAAGCAGGGAAAGCACAGTGTGGTGATGCTGGAGGGTGGGGGGAAGGATGTGAAGTGGTTGAGGTTGGAACAGAGGTTGTGGAAGATGGAAGAAGGAATTGTGGTGAGCAGAGTGATGGTGGTCCTCGCAACAACCAATCGGGGACATAGGACAAAAGTTTTGATAACAGTACGATCCCGTACAGGACCATTAGTGAATCTGAGAAGGTGGCAGTGGGAGTAAAGAGTGGGCTGAGGAAGGGCAATGAGCGAACTGGGGAGAGACAGCTCACCGTGAGAGCGTTCAAGATCAGTTCATCGACTTTCAGGGACAATTTTTCCTTATCATTTTTATTTTCAGTTCAAAGATTCTCCAAAAACTTATACAACTAGGTGAACGAAATAATAATTGGGAAAATGAAATAGACTGTGTCCTCTGTTTTTAATAAATGTGATAATCTTGATATTTTTATCATTTACAGATATACAGGTGCACCATACTTTGCGGCAATTGCAAGTCTTAAAGTGGTAGGTACTTGGCACAAGTTAGAAGCATTAAATTTATATTTTGAGAAAACATTGCCCCAGTTTCCTTTGGGTTTGAATTTTGCTAATGGGCTCAGGAGTGGCAGATGGAGTTTAATTTACAAAAAGTGACATGTTGCATTTTGGTAGAGCAAATCAGGGCAGGACTTGTACACTTAATGATAGGGTGCGGGGAGTGGTGACGAACAAAGAAACCTTGGAGTGCAGGTTCATAGTTCCTTGAAAGTGGAGTCACAGGTAGACAGGGTAGTGAAGAAGGCATTTGGTACGCTTGCCTGTATTGGTAAATACATTGAGTATAGGGGTTGGGAGTTCATGTTGCGACTGTACAGGACATTGATGAGGCCACTTTTTGAATACTGTATTCAGTTCTGGTCACCTGCTATAGGAAGGATGTTGTGAAACTTGAAAGGGTTCAGAAAAGATTTACAAGGATGTTACCAGGGTTGGAGGGTCTGAGCTATAGGGAAAGGCTGAATAGGCTGGGGCTGTTTTCCCTGGAGCGTCGGAGGGGTGACCTTGTAGAGGTTTATAAAATCATGAGGGACATGGATAGAGTGAATAGCCAAGGTCTTTTTCCCAGGGAAGGGGGTTTCCAAAACTGGAGGGTGTGGGTTTAAGGTGAGAGGGGAAAGATATAAAAGGGACCTATGGGGTAACTTTCTCACTCCGAGGGTGGTGCGTGTATGGAATGAGCTGTCAGAGGAGGTGGTGGAGGCTGGCAGGTTTACAACATTTAAAAGGCATCTGGATTGGTGTAAGAATAGGAAGGGTTCAGAGGGATATGGGCCAAATGCTGGCAAATGGGACTAGACTTATATAGGATATCTGGTTGGCAAGGACAAGTTGGACCGAAGGATCTGTTTCCGTGCTGTACAGCTGTGTGACACTATCTGGTACATACATACTGACAATTAACAATTGCACCTTTGGACCGCTATGATAGAACAGTATTGGCTCTAAGTGATTTATCTCTTCAAATGTAAAATCTCTCTAGAACATTGATCTTGTGTTGCAAGCTGCAGATAATTAGGCCTCACAGCTGTAGCTGTAAACAGAAAGGCTTTGTCAGCTAAGGTGCTGAGTGTTTTTGTGTTTCACACATTGTGTTGCATCTGTTCACAATGCGATCCAAGTTGAAGAACTTGCTTTTATGCGGGAAGGAGTAGCTTCATGGTGGTTAGGTTGTTGTAATTCACTGGTTCCCTGATGCTTATTAGAAATCGGAAACTGTCAGTGATCCAGTCTGCATCCATGCACACAACTCCAAACCCACACCATGTGGTTGGCTGTGGAGCTTCCAGCAATTGGACATAGGCAATTAACAAATGGAGTCTGGCCCAATGTAAGTCATAGCTGTCTGGATTGTACATAACAGGAGGATGCACTAGGATTGCATTTTAGAAGGATGCAGAGGTGTGCACGAGCTATATTTAATCTTTTTTTTGTCTCCCTAGGGTGCTGACCTTTCTCATGTGTTCTGCACTAAAGATGCTGCCCCAGTTATTAAATCCTACAGCCCAAATGTGATTGTTCATCCTGTCTTGTAAGTTCACTTTGAATTTGTGCCTTGTACAGGTGCATCATTTCTGTTCTAGGCAGATTACAGGGGGATATTGTTACAATCTGATTAGAGACTGTTAATGTGTCAGGAAGAAATGTGAACAGTCAGCAATCAACTGTCAGAACTACACAGGAATTCACATTTTTAAGCTGAAAGAAAATATATTGTATATCAAAAGGAATTTAAACTAAGTAAAGTCTATTAACAACACGGCTTACAGAAACTTGTCCAGCTACTTCGGCTTTGTATTTTGTGCCATTGCCCTCATACACGTGCATGCACTTACTAAATCTTTAAGGTTCATTTCTTTGTCCTGGAACCAATTCAAAAGGTTTTGCAGTGCTCTGTGGAATTCACTTTGATTTCTCTTCAGTGAGCCAGCCAAGAGACAAGAGTTCTTTAGGGTTTTCCGTTGACTAGTGGCTTAGTGATCTTCCAGTTTCTATTCCCAATGTCTCCTTTCTGGATTCCAGAGCTGCAGCACAAGCCACTCTCGGTGCATTGTTCTGTAGCCTGCTGCAATTTCAAATCTAATGTTGATCTTGCTTTTTGTGCACATTTGCAGCTGCAACTTTGTTTTCTTCACCCTGTTCAATCACCCTATGATCTATGTACAGGCATGCAGCCTGTACTGCATGCAAAACAAAACTTTTCAGGGTATTTAAGTGCATGTAACAATAATAAATCAAATCAAATCAAATCAATGTTTCCAAATGCAACCAAGCCGATTATTTCCAGAATTTCAACTGCAACAAGGTTGATTTCCTGTTATTGAAGATTACTTCACTTCTTCCTTTAGCTTCAATCTTCCAGTTGTTTCCCCTTTCCAACATTATTATGTACTGAACACTAGCTCCTGATTGCAGGCTGCATTATGGACAATAAATCTAGTATTTTCAGGCTTTATCTCTTGACTTCCACGGAGCAAGAAGCTACATAAGATCAAAGCTGACACAATCTTTTAGCTCTCTTTCCAAACATCAGCCAGTCTTACCTGTGTATCTTAACTAGACTCTCTCAAAATCTCAAGAGGATCTCACTAAGCTCCACCCACCTCCATGGTAATGTGGTGTCTATATTTGTTCCCAAGTAAAAATGTAAATTAACTACCTTTTTAATTCTGAAGCTTTCTTTGATTCTAGGAAATCAAATGTATAACATATCACTTACTGAAATAACTGCAAGCATCACATCCCCAGTTCCTTGGCTAAGTTAGCCCACCTGCCATTTTTGATCTTTCCTTTCTACCTGTTAACTTCTCAAAGTGTAATAGACTCCAAACTTGTTTGAATTGCATTTACTTCAGGGTTATGTTTAGTGGTTTTGAAACTAGATATCCCCGTTTTGTCTGGTTAAAACTTTAATTCCTAAAGCCAGACATTATATTCTAAATCATCTGAATTATGAACTAAATATTCACAGAAATATGCAATTGAAGTGATGGAATGTTGTCACAGGAGATCGAGGCTGTTTCCAGCAGGAATGAAATGCACCGAAAGAAGATTATGTACAGGATTTAGGACCAGGGGCAAAATTAACATCCTCAGAAAGTTGGGGGGATTTGCTTCCAATTATTGTTGAATCAGAAACTTGCCCATCCACATGGGATTAGATTAAAGAGGCAATGAGAGTGTGCGAACTGGATAATGATTATCCGCTGTTGCTAATGTGGACTGGATGAACCAAATTGTCTGTTTATGGGGCTGAGACAGCTGTGCAGGGAATGCTGAAGATTTTTTTTTGTATGCTGTGGAGCTACTGACTTATCTGCAAGGAGACTTCTCGTCTCAGTGAATCTTCAGACCAGGAACATGCATTTGCAAGTTCGAACCAGTGAGTTGCAGGAGTGTCTGGGGCCTCAAGCTGATTTGCCTGCATCAGTACAGATCAATCTAACATTGGGCAAACATGCTGAGCCTCTTTGGAGTACACAGACATCGAGTGACGTGTGAACGTTCAGAGTCGTGCAGTTACATTGTGTTCCATGTTTGGAAAAATGTATTTTTGTTTATTTCAGAGACACTTCTAGTGGTGTGGAGGATGTGGAGAAATGGCTTCCTGCTCTGCATTCAATGGTGATTGGGCCGGGTCTAGGAAGAGATGAGAAAGTCTTGCAGAATACAAAGGTGAGGATGGCGGTCTGTGTAAACAATCCCTGTAGTGATGTCAACTAGGAGGTGCTTTTAGGGGTCTTCAAGCAGGTGACCAGTGTACTATTAGACTATTCGGTTGCTTCTGCCTTGAATGAATTTCTAAATGGGAGAAGGGTCACAGGGCAACGGTGAAGGGGAATGATTGGATGGGCTGAAGATGTGAGGGAGTTGGGGAGGGGCTGACAGGGTTGGGGTAGAAGGTCGGGGGCAGGAGGTGAGGGGGTTTGGGGAGAGAAGGGGTCCTTTGCTAGAGGGTGGAGCTTTTCCAGAGCCCATTTTGCAAAAGCTGATCTTGAACACGGTGGTAGGAAGTGGGTTGATTAGAGCGGAAGAGCACTGCCTGCCTGACATCTCAGCATGACTGGTTTGTTCTGAGACAGTTGGCTCCACAGGATGTCATTAGAGACCTATCATAAGGTTTGTGTTTAGAGTAAACAGTGAATGTAGAATTACAAGGGGCAGGAGGCACAGCCCCACATTCGAAGAATGGTGATCTCATTGTTCCCTGCTACCGCACTGTGATTGGCATCCCTTCCTGGTCATTCCCACAGCACAGAAGGAGACCATTCAGTCCCCAGTGAGAATAAGTTATGGATGAAGAGGAAAATAAGATCAGGCTCTCATGTTGCTGTAGGCCTGGCTTGCATGAAGATTGTCTCTTTTCTGATGTGAAGGGCCTAAAACTCGGATATCTGATCCGGCAGCTGCGATGGCTTCTGTAGAGGAATAGCTGGAGATTACTCCCACAAGTAGACTAGGTCCTAGCCAACATTGCAGGTTGTAGCATTGCAGGCTCAGTACAGCAGTTAGAGTTGTATAGCACAGAAACAGCTCCTTTGGTCCAATTCGTCCACACTGACCAGATATCTTAAGTTAATCTAGTCCCATTTGCCAGCACTTGGCCCATATCCCTCTAAACCCTTCCTACTCATATTACCCATCCAGATGCCTTTTAAATGTTGTAATTGTACCAGTCTCCCACTTCCTCTGGCAGCTCATTCCATACACTCTCCAACCTCTGCGTGAAAAGGTTGCCCCTTGGGTCCCTTTTAAATCTTTCCCCTCTCACCTTAAACTTATGTCTTCTAGTTTTAGACTCCCCTGCCCTGGGGAAAAAGACCTTGTCTATTCACCCTAATCCATGCCCCTCATGATTTTATAAACCTCTATAAGGTCACCCCTCAGCTCCTACGTTCCAGAGAAAAAGGCCCCAGTTTATCCAGCCTTTTCCTACAGATCAAACCCTCCAGTCCCACTTATGTCACATTGACTAGCCCCAGGTAAAATTCCAAATTAGTGAAATATTTTTCGACTCCGCCCTCAGTAACTTTAGGCACTGAGCTGTCCTTTAGCTGGTTTGTCCTCGATACCTTCCTTGTTCTGAGCAGTGTCTCTCTCGTGCTGTAAAGGTGGTTCCCCTCCAAATGCATGTCCTCCACCAGATTTTATCACAGCCAAACAAAATGGCTGCAAATGTTAACATGAATGGCAGTCAATTGTGCAGGAATTCCCCATGCTGTCCCTCTTGTTCAACTCTACAGAATCTTTGAGTCCATACAAATTTTGAGAACTCAGTGCGCCGTCCTAGAATCTTCAAATTATCTAATGATCCTTTGTGATTGATTCTCAAGATAACAGTCTGATCATCTGCTTTGGCTGTGGTTGGATCCACAAGAGAAGTTATGTGGCTTTTGGGAGCCATTTTGTAAGACTGTGTCCATTTTAAAGACAGAATAAATGTTGTTTCAAAAGAAAAACTCACTTAAGTACACATTCAAAACACACCTTAAACCTTGATTAGATCACTCCTTAATATTCTATACTTAAGGGATAACAAACTTCATCAATGCACCCTATCCTCAATTTAATCGTTTTGGCCTTGGTATCATTCTGCTGAATCTGACAATACTTCCTTCGTCAGGATGTGCCCAGAACTGAGCTCAGTTACTCCAGTCAGGGTCACAGCTTTATAAACCAAACACATCTTTCACCTGTTTGTTTTCCAGTGTCAAACCAGCCAAAGGACTGCTTAGTGTGTAAAGTTACTGAGGATGGAGTAGAAAAATGTCACTGATTTCAAATGGCTAAACAATGTGACGTAAGCAGGACTGGAGGGTTTGAGCTACAGGGAGAGGCTGATTAGCTTGAGGCTATTTTCCCTGGAGCGTCGGAGGCTGAGGGGTGACCTTATAGAGGTTTATAAAATCATGAGGGGCACGGATAGGGTAAATAGTCAAGGGTTTTGAGATAATGTTAACCTGTCCTAGGAGCAAAGCAAGCATCATAGCCACCCATCCTTCAAACCCTCCTTGCTATGAAATTGGCCTCTTATTGTCCAGAACTCCCTGGCTTCATGAACTGAAGGCCGGTCCCAATAGCCAAGCTTTTCATGCACCGTGTTTTACCCTAGGCCCCTGAAAATCTAGATGAATCTCTTTAATAACTGAATATTGGTTGTGAAACCGCCAATGTGGCATTATTCCTGTTGGATTTTCCTTCTGTTCCAATGGCCTCCTATCCTGCTGCTGGCAACAACACAGTTATAGAACATGGCTTCGGACATCGTCAGTCTTGAGTGTATTAAAACTGGATCTGTTGACATTGGTGTTCCCTGTGGCACTTACAGTCCGTGGGACACTTAATAATGAATTTAAAAAGGATAGTGTGATCAATACCGGACTGTCAGTAATAAATCTGACAGGGAATTCAGGAGAAATGCCTTTTACGCAGAGAGTGGTGAAAATCAGGAATGTGTCACTACAGGAAGTGACAGGGGGATAAAACAGGTATGTTCAAGGGGAAGTTGGTAAACAGCTGGGCCAAAGGACCCCTTCCTGTGCTGTAAATTCTGTAATATGGTTGACCTGTTCAACAAATAGTTGCACATTGGAGGATTTAAGTTCTAATTTTATTGGTAGTGTTGCAGCAATTCAAAGTGGCTTTCTTTCACAACAGGTTATAATGCAGAAATGTCAGCAGCGAGGAATACCCCTTGTAATTGATGCTGTGAGTAAATTGTTCAGCTCTATTTCAAACAAATTTCACCGTGTTTTAAGCTTCCAGATCTTGGCCCTCTCTCTGATTTTATGTTAATTGTAAAACTGCTCCTTACTAACTCCACATAATCAAAAGAATCATTTCTTTAGCATCTTTCACAAGCTATCCCAAGTACTTTCCAGCCAATGAAATAATTTCAAAGGGTCACCTCTGTTGTATAGCAATGTAGAAAATAGGACACAGCAAGATCTCTCAAACAGCAATGTGATCTGGCCATGGAGGAACTAAATGTGGTCAGGAAAAGCTCCATAATTCGTCTTTGAAATAGTGCCATTGAAATTAGCACCTCTGACACTGCCTCCTGGTGCTGACCCTCTGACACTGCAGCACTGACCCTGGTGTGGACTCTGTGACATTGTGCCCCCACCCCAGTGCTGACCCTCGGGCGGTGCAGCATTTCCCCAGTAGTTCACTGGAATGTTTTCTAGAGGGATTATCTACTTAATTCTCTGTTTGGAGCCTTCACGTAGCAAGAAGGGAAAAACAATAAATCCTCCTCATTTAATACAAGAAATCCGATTTTCTGCGTTCATGTATTGATGGGTTTATAGAAGAAATGTTTTAAGAAACTGGGAAGTGAACTATTTCCCCAATCTCCGTGTGCCATGCATGCTCTGAGCATCAAGACCCCTAACCGTTTGAATCTCTCTTCTTTCTCCAGGATGGATTATGGGTGGTTGCCCAAGATCCCTCTGTGATCCAGGGATACCGTAAAGCCATCCTAACACCAAATGTGGTTGAATTTTTCAGACTCTACAATGCGGTGGTAAGTCTTCGAGTTGGATAATTAGCAGAGGTTTTAGCTGCTCTTGTGCTCAGTAGGGTATGTCGGGCCTCTTAGACTCTAGTGGGCTGAATCAAGCAGGTAGATCAAATCTTTAAGAGTTGTCATTATGGTGACATTCGATCTTAACAGGCCAATAACACAATTCAACTTGAACATACCTCTTGAAACTGGCCATTACTGCCTCCTCCCTTTGATTACCAGTCCTTTTTATCCATGTAAACAGTTTCTCCAGGTGATACTGGTTTAAGATCATTGACCAAAGAACTGGGGAGGAAATTAGATTTGTTTAAATCCAGACAGCTGTTGAGATCTGGAAATCTACATTTTGAAATGCTGTTGGAAGCAGCTCTGGAGTTTATAAGAAACAGAAGGAGGAAGCAGCTTTTGGGTCCACTGAGCTGCACCACCATCTGTAAAAACATGGCTCATCAGATGTGGCCTCAGTGCCAATTTTCTGACCTCCCCCCACCGATAATACTTGACTGACATTCCCTCTAATTGTTTTTTTTCCCCCCACTGTGCAGACCACAGGACCATGTGTGACAGTGGCTTTAGGAAGCTGATCAGTGTGCACTGCTGTCTGGGGGACAGAATTACAAATATTCATGACCCTCAGAGAGAAAAAAAATCCCCCCCCCCACTTCCTTACTTTCAAAATGTGGTTCCTAGTTACACATTCCTCCACATAGGGAAATATTCTTTTAGCTCCTGGTCAAGCTGCCTCAGAATTTTTATACATTTAGATAAGGTCATCATTTGTTCTAAAATCCAATGAGTATAAACCTAACCTGCTAATCAGTTCCATAATAAGACAACTCCATTCCATGAATCAGTTCAGTAAACCTTCTCTGAACAGCTTCCAATGCAAATATTTATTTAATTAGAAACCAAAACTGTAGTCGAGGGGTGATTTGTCCAAAGCCCAAGATGGCTGGAGCAAGATATCTGTAATTTTATACTCAAACCCCCTGCAATAAAGGCCAGATTCTACTGGCCTTCCTCATTGCTGTATCTGTATGCTGAACTTTGATGATACATGTGCAAGGTCACACAGATCGCTCTGTAATGCAACATTCTGCAGTCACTCTTCATTTAGACACCATTTGGTTTTTCTCATCTGTCTCACATTGTCTCCCATTCTAGTCCATCTGCTAAATTTTTGCCCAAGTAGCTAACCAATCCATGTCGCTCTGCAGGTTTCCAAATGGAATGGAATTAATATTTGAAAAGGATACATTTGCAGGGTTATGGGGAGCAGAGCAAGAACAATGGGAATAACTGTATAACTCTTTCATACAGCTGGCATAGACAAATGGGCTGAACGGCCTCTTTCTGTGCTCAGTGATTCTACTATGCTTTGCACACATTTGTTATAAGTGTTTATAGTAGACAGGAAGTCACGTGGATTCTCTGTGCTTAGCTCAAGAGTCCTTTCAATGAGTGCGATCATTCGGGCAACTTGCTTCAACTAATTCAAGCAATGGGGAATGTGACAATTGTCCAGAAGGGAGAGAAAGACCTCATATCTGATGGAACTACAGGTAAGCTCCACTAATTTAAACTTTACTAATGTGAGCTGTCACAGAAAGCCTTCCTTTTGGACAACTCGGTCATTCATGGTCAATTGGTTGCTTTGTGAAGTAGTCCTTGGAGACCTCCTTTCCCCAAATCGTTATGGTGCAGAAGGAGGCCATTTGGCTCATTGTGTCTGTACCTGCTCTCCGAATGAATATCAGGATTTAATGGCCAGTCTCCTACCCTTGCCCCCGTAAATCTGCTCTAAATAACCCTGTTATTTCAGTTTATGTCATCAACCAATGCCTTCTTGACTTAATTGAACCTGCCTCCATCATACTTCCAGACAGTACATTTCAGGACCCCAAAATGTTTCCCCCTCATTGCATTTAGTTATTTTGCAAATCCCTTTAAATCTGCAGCCTCTACTTTTTGGTCCTTTTTATGAACGGGGATAGTTTCTTCATGTTTACTCTAGTTAGACCCTTCATAACATTGAAAACTTCAATCAAATCTCCTCTTACCCTTCTCCTCTTCAAGGAAAACAGTCCCAACTTCTCCGATGTATCTTCAAAACTGTAAACCTCTTCCGTACTCCCTCTCCAATACACTCACATCCTTGTTATAGTGCTGTGCACAGTACTCTGACTGGGGTTTAACCATTATCTTCAATAGGTTCAGCCTAACCTCCCTGCTCTTGTGCTTTATGCCCCTGTTAATAAGGCCTAGGATATTGTATGATTTATTGACCACTGTCCACCTTTTGTGCCACCTTCATAATTTATACACACAGTCACTCCAGCCTCTGCTCTTGTACAAACTTTAGAGTACCCTTGATTTTATAGTATCTCTCAATGTTCATTCTACCAAAACGTAACACCTCACACTTCTCTGCTTTGTCAGAAGTCACACGACACCAGGTTATAATCCAACAGGTTTACTTGAAATCACAAGCTTTCGGGGCACTGCTCCTTCGTCAGGTGAGGTCCTTCATAAAAGCAGTGCTCCGAAAGCTTGTGATTTCAAGTAAACCTGTTATATAACCTGGTGTCGTGTGACTTCTGACCTTGTTCACCTCAGTCCAACACTGTCACCGCCGCATCATTCCCCGCGTTGAAGTTCATCTGTTAGCTGTCTGGCCACTCCACTGACTTGATGTCGTCGAGTCGTAGAATCATACAGCCTCGAACCAACCCTTTGCCCCACCATGTCTATGTCAACAAACAAACTCCAATCTGCTCAAATTCCATGTACCTGCACTTATTAGGCCCTGGCATTTTAAATGCCAACCGGAGTTGCGAGAGTACTTGGCTCTACCACCCTTTCATGCAGCCTATTCCATATTCCTATCGCCCTCTGGGTGAAACAAAATTTCCTCAGATCCCCTCTAAACCACTTACTCCTCACCTTAGACCTATGCCCTCTGGTCTTTGACTGCCATGAAGATGCTTGTGATCTACCCAGTCCGAAAAGGTATGCATCCTCCTCGAGAGCATTGTGGAATGGATAGCTTGTACTGGCTGGTCCAGTGCACATGTCTCACAAACAAATGAAAAAACTGAGCATTATCAGTGAAAATTGAAAGGATTGACTTATTGTGAAATTCAAACAATGCTCAGAATAGAATTGCAAATGCTTCTGTGTTTGTATTCAACAATGGGTTTCTGGTGGGCTAATTTAATAATTAAATGACTCGTACTCTGAGACAATCCAATTTAATACAATAATTTATAACAGCATCTAGCATTGCAGGATTAAAGATCTTTTTCCCTTTTTTGAATTTTATTTGTATGTGGATAATTTAACAAGAATTTGCTCCAGTTTTGGCTTATGGAGTACCTGTTTCTCTGTTTTTAGTATTGGCGTGTTCACAGCAAGGCAGTGGTCGGAGGTGTGGGGGTCAGGGAGACCTGCTTTCAGGAGCGCTGGGGGTCCTGGCCCATTGGGCTCTTACTGCTGGCAATGAGGAAACAGATGGGTAAGACTGGCCAATAATGTGTTTCCAATCAGTGGAAATAAGTTTGGGATTGTGATGTTCCTGTCGTTAATGCATCCAAACATGCTTATATAGGAGTGAGTCTCATCTGAAGTAATGCTGACACACACACACACACACACACAGGAAGAGTTGGGGATACTTATAGACTTCCCCAGTATAATGCTGGGCAGATTGATATCAAGTGGAATACTTGGGTCCAGTGAGTGTAAGTGTTTGTTTTTCTCCTCCCTGCATGACTGGGCTTGACCCCTATCATTGGCTAATTAGATGACTGGTTAATCTTAATGGCAGTTTCAGAAGCGTCTGCCCTGGGAAGAAGTCACTTTGAAAATCAACTTATTTCTCTCGGTCAGACTGTCCCTGTATTTGATCGGTTTCCCAGCTAAGACTGTCTGCAATGGTGCTTCCCTGTTCCTCTTGATACTTGCGAAGCCGAGTGGGAATGAGCTCTAACCCCCCCCCCTGCCGCCCTTACCCTATTTCACACCCTAGCTGGACTCTGGCTGAAACGAAAAGGTCATGTTTCAAATGTGAAGAATGAAGATGCTTTTCACACTCTGCTGTGGTTATGCATTATCCATTAATCACATTTGTGTGAATCAGGGTTACGTACGCTCACTGTTTAGGGATTTTTTTTTTTTTGCTCAATTTCATTGAGGGGAAACTTGAATAGAGATTCTCAATTGTAAGAGCTTTGGAGCAAGTAAGGAGAAACTTTATAGTGGCAGGAGGGTCAGTAATCAGGGGGACAGATTTAAGGTAAATTAGGAAAAGAATCATAAGGGAGATGAAGAGAATTTGCATGCAGAGTTAAATTTTCAGGATATGGGCAAGTAGCAGGGGCTTGGGGCTCTTTGAATAGTCTTTCACAAGCATGATTCATGCTGTACAGTTCTAAGCTTCACACAGTAGCTCATCATGGTCTCTGTTCTCCTTCCAGGTTAAATCCCACACTTATAGCTGCATTCGGAGCTTGTGCCTTGACAAGGCAGTGCAACCACCAGGCTTTCCAAAAACATAGGCGTTCAATGACCACCTCAGACATGATTGAGGAGATCAGCACAGCTTTTAACAAACTCTTTGAGAGCTAAGGGGAAGAACTGGCTATTGGAATGGAAACTGAAGTGCAAGAGTTCACGTGGGCTGTATAAGCTGCTGACAGACAGTTCCCCAGAATTAACTCTCAAGTTTGTTGTTTCAAAAAAAATGTCTAAGTGCAGCCACCCAGCTGCAGTTAAAGCACTGGAACTAGCAGGTTACAATCTGCTGAATACTACGAATCCTATCTTCTGAATAAACACATCAAAATAACAGAAACGTTTTGATGGTTCTAAGTAGGATCGACATTGGTGGTGTGGGGACAGAGCAGCAAGTCCATGATTATAAAGCCCACTGGTCACAGTTACCACGCTTTAGCCCTCCATGTTGGATGAATTGCTAAAGGGTTGATTAAAGTTATTTTCACTCCCTGATCTAAATAAAAACACAGGTTATTCCTTTGAATTACAGATTGTGCTTCTTTTTCTCAATATGGCGTTTGAATTCCGTTGCCTTAAATAGCAGAGCTTGCCATTTTTGAGGGCAGTTTCCTTTTGTCTGTAATGCTGTAAACTGTGCAGTGATTGCTTGGCCATGATAACATGAATTATGTTCGTTGCTGGTCCCCTCTTTGGGGATTAGGAAACGAGGCATGCTTAGTTAAAGCATAGTTGGACCTTTTTTAGAATCAGCTGTTCTCAATGGGTAACACTTGTACCTCCTGAAGCAGAAGGTTGTGGTATCAAGCCCAAGTCCAGAGAGCTGAGCCTATATTCAATTGATGGCCCCAGTCCTGTACAGAAGGGGCAGGCTGACATAGGGAGAGGGGGGCAACCATCAGCACTCCAATGTAAGGACTTCACTATTGATCCTGGATTTAAATTTTATCAGGACTGGAAATAGACCTCTCGCTCCATCATGCCTGTGCTGGAGCGACACAGTTAGTCCTACTCGTGCCTTCCCCATAGCTTTTAAATTTTTACCCGATTTGAGTGTTAATCCAATCCACTTCCAAAAATTGCTATTGAATCTGCTGCTACTATCCTTTCTGGCATAATAAGCAACTGTGCACTTGTGGGAGTTTTTTAAATATATTTCAAATCTGTGCCCTTTTGTTACTGGACCTCCTGCAATTGAAAAGTTATTTTTCTACAAAAATCCTTCATAATTTAATGTTGAGCAGAGCTGATGGGAAGTATTCGACCCTCCTGATATTAGGACCAAGGAGCCACAAGTTGGAATAAAGGTCAACGTTCCTGAAGCCGTTTTAATAACTTTTTTTTGTATCTGACCACTTGTTTTGTGATTTTTTTTGTATCAGAATCCTAAATGTTTCCGCTTCTCCACAGTTCCAAAATTTAACAGCATTTAAAAAAATACTCTACGGACTATTTTGTCTGCAAAATGGTCGAAATAACTATTAATGCTGTGGTATACTGAGGAACTGACTGTCATGAATATCAGAATTCATAATGTGGTTCTGATCTACCCTGGGAAATCTATAAGACTTTAAAATAAGTGCATTTATCATTCAGTTTTGGTTTAGCAAAAATGACTGAGGAACCTGCAGCCAAACACCGCTCATTCAAACTTAGTAGCAGGGAAACCGGATCCAATTGCCTGCAAGGAATGATTTTCACCAGTAATACTGAATTAAAAGCACAAAGTTCCTTTAATGAATAAAGAGTTAAAAATTCAACCTGGGATTGCTTTTCAAATGAAGCTGCCACCCAACAATTAAACAGAAAATCTGAGGAGACAGCAGAAAAGACAATGTTCAAGGTTGATGACCTTTAACCAGGACTGCTATCTGTAAACTGGAAATTAGCATCACGAGCAAAGAATCATCAGACCTGTGTGCTATGTCGGAAGTCTGTGCAAAATTGCAGGACATTACCTCCAGCTGCCACAATTAGTAACTGCACAAAACACTATCAATTCTTGTTCTTCACGAACTTGCAAAATCCATTGATGGGTGTGCAAGCTTAGCACACATTTGGGGGTGGGGGGAATAAAATTTTTTTGAATAGTACTATTCGAAAAGTCTAGAACTGTTTTAGTGCTAAGTACTCCATCCTCTCTCTCTTTTGCTCACTATTTTCCTCACATCCCCCTCCTCTCTTCTCCACAACCCGCCTATCAGAAACAGATAAACTGGTCATTACAGCTTGAACTTGTCTGTTTTGACGAGAGAAACAAAATGGAAGCATATTATCTAAATGATGGGAGATTACAGACCTCTAAAGTGCAGTGCGTGCATGCATGAACTGCAAAAGTTCAGTAAACAGGTACGCTATTGTAAATCAAAAGCTAACGTTATCATTTACAGCAAGAAAAATTGAATACAAAAGGAGAGAGGTTATGCTTCAGTTATTTCGAGCAGTGGCAAGATAAATTTGGAGTAGTGTGTACAGTATTTGATTAATCAGTTAAGGTAAGATGTAAAGGCATTGCTGGCTTCACAGAAGTTTTACTACACTAATACCTGCAATGAGCAAGTTGTCTTATGAGGCTGGGCTTGTATTTGCTGGAGTTTAGAAGAGTAAATGGTGACAACTGAAACATATCTTGAGTTCTGACAGGGTGGCTATGTAGAGGCTGTTTCTGTGTGGGAGAAACTAGAACTAGGAATTACTATTTAAAATTAAGAGGTCACTCATTTAAGACAGAACATCTTTCTCACAGACGGTCATGAGTCTTTGCAACTCTGCTTCGACTACCTCTGGAGGAAGAGTCTTTGATGCAGGTAGATTCTTGATTTAGCAAGAGGGTGAAAAATGATTGAGAGTATATAGGAATGGGAATGTAGAGTAACCAGATCAGCCACGATGATATTGAATGATGGAGCAGGCTCGAGGGACCAAGTGCTCTACCCCTGCCCCCAATTCATATCTCCACATATACATTATTACAGTATTTAGGTTGTTCTTAACCAGCCTGAATTGTCTGTGGGTGTGTTCAGCTATTACTCTATGACAGTGTAAACTTAGTTTTCAAAACTTTGCATAACTTGTCAAGTACATAATTTAATTTTTAGTTGATGTACAAGAAAGAAATAACATGACCAATCAAGACATTATCTACCTAATGACAATGTTTGACAAACAATAGAGTTTTAAAAAATCATGATTCATCCGGTAGGTGGAATGGGATCCATCAGTTTTTCCTCACCATTATTTGCTGTAACTATGATTGAGAAGCAATGTGTTCCCCAATTAGAAATGTGACAGACAGACCTGATTCACTGGATAGGCACTGCATTGTCACTAGGAGCCAGGGCCCAGCAAAATTAATCGTGGACACTGATCCACTTTTCACTCTAGGATGCAAACACTGAATCTGACCCCTTAGTGTCACAGTCCAACATTTCTATGGTAAGCAACTCCCCTGGTTTATAATACCAATGAACACTTTAGCTCAAAGATAACACATCCTTTTCCATGACTGTCAATGGTTTATGTTAATACCCCAATACTGGTGTTGTAAGTCTGAAGTGAATGATCAGGCTTCATTTTTCTTTTCCTTTTGTAAGTTGTTCCATAATCTCCCATGAAGAAGTTACCCCTCGATCCTAGAAAAGCAAAAATAAAGGAGGTTTGTTCAGAGATTCTGGAGAAATATGACATATCAAATGATGAAAAATTAACATTGCACCTTTAAATCACTGTTCAAATAGTATAACTAGAAATTTTCAGACTCTCCAACAAATCTTCATTCTTTTCTGCTCTAAGTAGATGGAACTAAGTCTAACCCTTGATCCCAGTGTGCCCCAGCTATTTAGCAAGGGGAAAATGTCACTATTTATGACCACTTTATACAGGATGCAGAAGTGTTTGAAATTTAATAAAGTGAGATTTGATTTTAAAAGTTTCTGTAAATTCCTATGCTTTTTAATGATTTGTATCTGGCTTCATCTCAATAAATTACCATCAAATTCATCTAATCAAAACAGTGGATAATTGCAGCCAGACGTCCCTCATAATTTACAACAATCTATTTAATTCACAGATTACAGAATGGCCTATTGCACAGTACAGGCAAACTCTCAAATTGCAGTGTCCAGTTGTCACGGCCATAAGCTATGGAATTCACTTCTTGAATACCTCTAATCTCTCTACCTCTCTCTTTTTAGCATCATCCCTAAATCTATCACTTTCACCAAGCTTTGGTCTCCTGTTCTAATATCACAAATGCATCCAAGTTAAATTTCATTAGATAATGCTCCTGTGAAATGCCTTGACACATTTTTTAAACATTGAAAGAGCTATATAGGTGCAAGACATTGCTCAAAGTAAGCCAAATGGAATCCATTTACAGGAGCACTGAGAACCACTGAACCAAAGACCCATCTTTGTTCTTGCTTTTGATGTAGCTTTGTTGAATTTGGTACGGTTGAGACGGTTATTAAAATGCTGTAAAGAAGACTTACTGATCTGGATTAACGACCAGTGTAATTGGTTTGTGAATGGCTGCTTACTGAATGTGGCTATATGGCCGTGGATGGCTCTGTGTGTCAGTTTATCTTTAAAAGGATATTGAGCACCGTAATCGAGGTGAGCAGCTTTTGTGTTCAATCTAACTGAGAGCATTCAGTTTGGATTTACCTGGATACTAGATGTAGACTCTCAGTTTGTGAGAAGTGCAAGGCCCTAATGGGAGAGATCTTGATGCTGAATTCAGCAATGGCACTAAAATATGTAGGTGGAAGCATCAGAAATTTGTGCAAAAAGAAACTGATCATTGATCAAGACTTGTGGCTGGTGTGAATTGGCAGAGGGTGAAACGGAAAAATCAATGGTGGCATAAGACAGGAGAAACAGGAACAGCAAATGCTAATGAAAAGTGATGGCTGACCATGATGGGCCTGGGTTTCTCCAGTCAGTAACTTAGACAAGAGAGTTTTGTTAAAGCCATCTTAAAATTAAAGATTCACTGAGGTGGATGAGAAATACATTACTGCCAGTTATCATCAGCAGAACAGAGAAGTTGGCTGGAATTACACGCACCACCATTTGGTTCAAGGCATTTCCACACATGGACTGAACAGACAGTACAAACTCTCTATAAATCTTTGCTATTTTTACCGATTGTGACTTAATTTCTCAAGCACAAATACTCAGCTGGAATCATAAAACGGCTACAATACAGAAAGAGGCCATTCAGTCAATTATATCTAGGCTGACTCAGCAAGTGAAACTCCCCCACCCCACTCCACTCTTTTCCCTGTGGACTTACAAACTTTTTTTTCTTACAATACTGACCCTAATTCTCTTTCCAAAGTTACAACTGAATTTGTCTTAAGCAGTATACCAGATCCTAACTACATGCTGAACTTTTTAAAAACCTTTTCCCCATGTCACTGTTGTTTTATTGTCAATCACTTTAAATTACTGTGCTCTTCTTCATAAGATCAAATGAAACAGGAGCAAAAGTAGGCTATTGTGCCAGTTCTGTCTTTCAATAAG